GAGAGAGAGAGAGAGAGAGAGAGAGAGAAAGAGACAGACAGACAGACAGACAGACAGACAGACAGACAGACAAACAAACTGACAGACAGACAGACAGACAGACAGACAGATAATTGGAGAGAAGAAATAAGAGAGACAGAAGAACAGGGTGAGAGGGAAAAACACACACAGCGAGAGATGGAGGAGAAAAAGAGAGAGAACGAGAGAGAGAGACAGAGAGAGAGAGAGACAGAGAGGGGGGGGGTGCTTGTTTTGTTTATAACCAAACAGTGGACACACTCACCTTGCCCATGAAGGGTACCAGGTGATGCTCGCATAGAGAAAACATCTCGATGTCTTTCACCAACACAATCTCGTCATGGTCTTCGTCAAATATAGCGTCGTTCAGGATTTCTGGGAAGGGTAAAAATAACGTGTGATTTTGGGGAAGTTTATGGAGAGCATAAAACGGATAAACGTAACATATCACCAGACCGAAAAAAACAGTTACGTGAACAGAGAGTAAACGATGAAACAACATAAACACAAGGTATCAACAAACCAACCATCCGGATAAAAGGCAGGTGTGGGCTTGGATATAAATAGAAGTTTAAAGTCTTCTCTGTTAAATAAGAGAGCCAAAATGCCTCCCCACCAGCATAACCCCCCCCCCCCAATAAAAACCCCAACAACCCAAGAACAAAAACAACAATAAACAAATAAAAAACACAATAAATAAACCTATAAGTAAATAAATACACCAAAAGAAAGAAGAACGAAAAACGAAAGAAAAACAACAAAAATACACCCCACATATACACAGGCGGTCAAAAAAACCCACCAAAGTGCAACTTTGTCCCCCAAAAATAAATCCCTTACCCACTGTAATGCAAAATACTTGCATACGGCAAATACGTGAGAACACAGACACAATCGCGTCGTTTGATCTTTAAAATAAGTCTGATCCCATTCCAGATTTTTAAAAATGTACCATTTGGAAGGTATTTGGTATTTGGGGTCTTTTTCTTTCGCCTAACCGAACATCCGGTCGTCACATTTATGAACGCAACAGACAGCCGAACAAAAGCCACCTCTACTTCGAGAAAAGGCTTACAATCTCTAGAGATCTAGAGTAAAAAGCCACCATCCGTCCCCTGAGAAGTATCTCGAGTTGATATGTGTTATTTATTACACGTTTGAGTCTGAGTAAAGAGCGGGGAAGTAGGACGAACTTTAACCACTGGACCATGCTCTTACCAGATTCACACACACACACACACACACATACACACACACACACACACACACACACACACACACAGGGGACTGCATGTGTTCAAAGTTCTGGGGGGAGAGAGACATGTGATATAT